CTCGATGTAACACTTTATCTCCCCAGTTTTTAGTCCAAGTCCAACATTTTTGTTTTATAACAAATATAAAGTTATTAAATGTCAACGAAATTGGTTATATATACATCATTCGTAAGTCTTGCCACTCCTGTTACACCATAGTATCGTGACGTCACGCTACAATATTTGCAGTAAACATGGAGCCACACAAGGAGTACGTACTCAATAGGGGGAATTGGCAGAACCTTAATACTAAATCACACAAATGAGGTCTTTTTTACCACTAAAGGCGCTGATTTCAACTTTGTACTGAAGTCTGCTTATACCCAGTAAACTCGTTTGAGTAAATTTGACGTCAGCATGATATCATGCTTTACATGTATCTTATGCATAAGATACAACTTATTTCGCACGTATTTACGTCAAACACTGACGTAAAAATGAGTTCAACTTGACATCACCATGATTCCTGAATCAGAAATCCTGATATCAATTTGACATAACGCTGATGTTGTAAGAACGTTAAATTGTAACTAAATAATAAATAATTACTTTATTACAAGTATTTGTCTTACTTTTTACCATCTTATCTATAAGATAGTAAAAAGTAAGACAAACGAACAGGTTTTTTTAACTATTCTATAATATTTATATATAAAAATTATAATTTTCACTTCTCAGTTTTTCTTTTATATACCTAAATATTATATAGCATTTAAATTATTTTGTGCCGTCAAATGCAAATCACTTTTTATGTTAGTATAACGTCAGAATGATATCATATAATTAACGTAATATTTCGTTACCTGTAAAATGTAAAATCAAGTCCATGTGTTCACTGGATACTGTACTGTACTGTACTGGTTACAATGCTTTGGTATAAATCAAACAACTAACAAAACACTAGCGCAAATCTTATTTTGGAAAGCCATTAGTAAACTTAAAATGTTAAGTAATGAGTAAAACTATAACACTCCAGTTTAATTATTATTATTACTATTTATAATATATCATGTATCAAATTTGATAAACGCCATTTTAGTCAAAAATTTAATTTAGGCACGAGCGAGCTTGCGAGCGAGTGCTTAATTAAATGAGTGCATATAAAAGTTTATAAACGAGTTGGATAATATACTTTTTCTAAGACAAATACTTAATATTATTTAAAAAACTATTTAAATTAAATATTTGTATCAACCGACATCTATACGAAACTAAAGTAACCATCCCAATAAACATTTTTGATGTAATTTTCACCATTAACATTGCCCGTCACTATTTTAATTAAACTTAACGATTAATAATACTTTAAAATATTAAAATAACTTCAAAATATGATTATGTTAAAAAAATATTTAATCCTTTGATTTTTTTTATTACTATAATTGCAAAATATTATCACAAAGTATTAAAAATTATTACACGGGAAATGTTAAAGGTACAAAAAGTGACATTTGTATTTATTGGAATTCCCTTTAGAATTTCTAACTAGTGAATCTACCGGCGTTTTTTGTGTAAATCAAAATGTATCCCTTGAAAAAAGACTACCAATCGATATAGAAGCATTTTTTACAGTAAAAGAGAAGGGAATGTTTTATGGGCACTAAACGCAAAATTTTTAACGCTTTATCAGTTAAATCTAGTTAACTGCACTACTACGGCGAAATCAATATTTTTAAATACATGTATTTTGGCGTCAAGAAACTATTTATTTTTTTATTGAGACATTTAATGTCATGAAAACATGTACGATAATGGGCGTTTTAAAGTTGGAAATAGAAAAAATATTTTATGATAAACGAAAGAGAGAAAGTAAGGGAAATCCTCATCCCCTGAAAATCCAAATTATTCATTACCATCCAAGAAAAATACTTGATTTGGTTTAATTTAAAACGCATTTTCCGAGCGCGAGTATTTTTCCCATTTTTGCACTTTTTTTCTCTCGTAATGAAATCGTTTGATCTTATGTATTTATCTTTCGGGAGGGATTAATGAACAAACGCCGGCCTTTATAGAAACGGAAGAAGCAATTTATCGAAACCGGCGCCCCCTTTCCCTGCTTTATAAATTTATACCTTACCCTGGAGTAATTACCATTCGCTCACACACACTTCGTATGCTGACCGGTCTTGTTTGTTCGAATTAAAATCTCAAATATACATAGATCTAAAGTTAATTTTTTTAATCTGTACTGCGGCAACGTTGCAAATTTAGGGTTTTGGTTGGTAAATACAGTTGTCAAGTTGGTTGCATTGATTAAAACAAACTAAGCTGGTTATAAATCTAATTGTGGTTATGTATAAATTATTAATGCAATTAATTTGGCTTTGGTGGTGCTTGGATGAGTAAAATCATATAAAAAAGTAGTTAAATATAGGTTGCTTTACGGCCCAGAAGAGAAAGTATTCCTAGCGGATAATAATCTTCGCTTTGAAAAGAATTTATATAAAAGACACGTAAATGTTGTCCAATGGTGAATAATGTGAAAATAATGTGTGATTTGATATTTATAAAACCAAATTCGTTACTTTTTTACTCCAAAAATGTCCATAAGGCGATGTACTTTATCTTCCATTGTGACATTTGGCATAATTTCATCAAAATGAAGTTTTGCCCTCAAAAGGGCTTTTACATTCGAATTCGTTGCTATTATTTTTGGCATATTATCTTTTTGTTTATAATTGACAAGTAAATTATCGACTATAATTACACAAGAGCTTATTTTTAGCCGGATAAATTTTTGTTTTCCTTAAAAGCTTGTTACCTAGCAATTTGACAAGAAAAAATGTCATCAATCAAAATTGCGAGACCGTAGGTCGACCGATTTTGTCAGATGACATTTTTTCGAGTCAAATTGCTAAAAGGTAACAAGATTGAAAGTTAGAAAACATAAATTTATCCTGCCATAAAAAAAGCTCGAGTGTAATTCGACGAGATAATTTTGTGATTTTTTTCATATTGCATGCCCAATCAAGAAAAATATTTGCTAAATCTTGCTGTGATATTGAGTCGAGTAGTTTGTAATTCCTCGCATTACAAATTATTATCAAATTATTTGGGATACTTTTTACAATTTGTTCTTTATTGTTTTTCGCCGGAAACAACACCAAAACGATTCATTTTAAAAGTTTTTTTGACACCTGCTATTAAAAAAATAATTATTATAAAGGTTGTCAAGGAAATTAAATGACACGAGGTAAATAAATAATTATCCACTTGCAAAAGTTACCTTCCTTTTTATCCGTTATCAAAGTGACTTAAATGCCATTCAACTACGACGTTTTCATGTAAGAAACAAATTATCGTAAGTAATATCATAAGGGCATCTAATTTTTCCGAAAAAAATCGAAAAAACACGTTGCTAAGTAATATTTTAACAAGAAGCATGAGTGCTGGTGGCAACAAAAATTCGAGTCGAAGAGGAGGATTTTTGCACCTGCACGAATGCATTTTGTTAAAAAATATTACTTAGCATTGTGTTTTTTCAATTTTTTTCAAAGGAAAAATTACATACCCGAATGGTATTTGACAAGACTATTTCATGAGTAACAGTTAACAATTAAAATATAAATTGCAATTTTTGGTGACAACAGCCGTCAAGTTTTGCTGGGTAAACTCGAAAAAACTGCTGACAGGTGCTGTCACACAGTTTTTTCACCTAGAAACCATTTGTAATTCAAAATTGCGCGTTTGTGATTGGTGGAAATTAAGACGAGGGAAATAGTCAATAATAAATATTATTGTCAATTTGACAGTGTCAAAGTATTTAATTAAATTCTTTAGCAGAAGTATCATTTTTAAATACTAAGTCAAACTGGCATAAGCCACCAACCTAACAAAAAAACACGAGTCCAGATAAAAAAAAAATGAACTGTATGTAATGGAAAAATGAAGGTATGGTAAATAAATGATTTTTACTTCAAACTCTTTCTCAAAAACAGTTAAAACAGTAGTAGTGGTTAAAAACCTATTGGTTTGAAGATCTTGAAACTTGGATGAAGTTACTTCGATCTGTTTATTACTGTCTGGCGTTAATCAACATGATACATTAATTGGATTGTCACCTTAAAAACAGGAGTATCTCTATAAAGGGAGAGTGGAACGAGGACATGCACGCTCCCTCTAGCGTCTCTAATGCAAGGCTCGACGTCATAGCGAAGTTAACTTTATTTTTCAACCCCTTGCCGGGGCAGAGAGCTTTTTATAATCGCGGGCTTAATCAATAATTCCCTTTGATATGCCATAATAATGAAATTCATATTTTATTGCATTTTATAATGTCTTATAAATGAGGGAGACTCTACGAGGATTAACGATTTATGTTTGGTTTATTTACTTGGGAAAAATTAGGGTGATTTAATGCAATTAACATTAAATGCATTGAGATTTTATTACGTCAAATTGATGTTGGATTGTTTATTAATCGATGTAATGGTTAATTGTTTGTTTGATGTTAATTGGTGTTAATATTCTTGACCTACATTACAGTGAAAAAATGTAGGCTGCACATTTTTATTGAGTCAATTAGAGTGGCTGACTGGGTGTTAGAAAGAGATCGCGTCCCGGAAACGCGCTGGAGAGCGAGCGAGACGCAAAGGGAAGATCAATCAGAAATCAGAGCGCTAACTCGCGTTGTCTCTATCTAAAATGTAACAACACACCGCCGCTGCAACTGTCTATTGGACATTAAATAGCACACAAACCTGCCCGGATAAACTGCACCGGAGTAGAGCGTCGCGTCGAAAATTATCAAGTGAAAATCCGGGTTTTTTTCGGTCGTTGCAGCGCAAAACGACGCGAGTTGTCGGTTATTGCGAATCTCGGTCGGTTTTCCCTCTCGCCCACGTGTTCGCGTCTTGTTTTCCCCGCGACCAAACAAAGGACGAGCTCAGCCATTTATATCGATTTTGTGGTGATAAACGGCGTATAAAAAACTTGTTGAATTCGGCCCGGTCTCGAGCAGTCCAGCCGCACGCGAAGCCTTTGTTTACACCGCGAAACGCTCTGCTCGCTCGATTATCATGGAAAATTCGGACGAACCGCTGAATTTGACCATCAAAAAAATGCCCATCGCCATCGTCGCTCCGTTCCATCACGTCGACCAAAATCACAACATTAAAATTAACAACAACAACGACGACAAGCTTCCCGCCAACAACAACAACAATAACAAAAACGAAGAGGATGTGCCTCAGGATTTATCGAGAAAAACTCCGACATCCGAGAATGGATTGGATCTATCGACAAAAAAGCAACCTGAAAAAATCTACCATAACGAACAGTTGAGAAAATACCTGTGCAAAGATGAACAATCCGACAATTCCTACAACAAAAACACATTCAACGGTGACAATCAAATCGTCAATGATTACAATAAGTTGCGCGATTTCTACGAAAACATCGCAAACAAAGGCGACAACAACAACATCTACTCCTTCCTGAACAATTTGTGCGACAACAAATTTCTGTCCGCATGGTACATGAACACCATGCTCACCCAACAAAACCCCTATTTAAACTACGCGCCCCCACCGTCTCCGTACGAATGCAAAAGCGACACAAGTCCAAATCGCAACCGAATCCTCAACAATCTCTTGGACAAAAAACCGTACAATCCTTGCAAATTTCCCACCGGGTTTGACGCGCTCATCAAAAACGAAATGAAGGGCGACAATAAGCACCCCAGTAGAAAACAGAATGGGTCAGAAGAGAATCAAACGAAAAATCGTCGCAGTTTTTTAATTTGTGTAATTGTTTTTTTTAGGTCCCAAATGGATCACAAGAACAATATAGACGCGAAAAACGCCGAAGCGAACGAGAAGAAAAAGCCCCACATCAAGAAACCGCTGAACGCTTTCATGTTGTATATGAAAGAGATGAGGGCCAAGGTGGTTGCCGAGTGCACGCTGAAAGAAAGCGCCGCGATCAATCAAATATTGGGACGACGGGTAAGATACAACAACATATACTATCTAATATACGCCATTCTTTAAAAGACTTACGAAATCTGTCTCTATGTTTGTTTTAATCCGGATGAGTGGTGCGTACGTATATGCGAGAATGAGATTTTTTTGTTTAATAAAAAGAATAACATTGGAGTGCTAAGATTCACAGAGAAAACATGGTATTTTGCTGAGTAATTTCTTGGGTTATTTTTTACTAAACGAATTCCATTCAAAAATTTCAAGGGGTGATTCTTTAACGCAAAATATCAACAACAAAAAATCCTAAAAACACAGATGCTTTGTAACCAACAATTTTCAAAACGATTTTTCTTAAAAAAAAAAACGTTTGGTTTTAGACTTTTTAAACAATATAACCTTTTTTGTATAAAATTAAATAAAAACACATAAAATGGATATAAAATACCCAATAACGTAACTTAAAAAAATGTAAATTTTTAATGCAAAGGATTACTGCCCAATGGGTAACCCAAAAAAACCCCAAAGAACATCCACATAAAGCGCTGGTCAAACTAAAATTCCTTTAATATATATTCTAATTCTAATACAAAGAAACGATCAAACATAAGTTCGGGGATTCCCCTGCCGATCTGTACTCCGCCTATGAATTTTATAGTTCAAAACGACCGAAAATAATAAATAAACATTATTTCTTTTTAAATGTTGTTTTTCACGAAAATCTGTATAGGTTTTATATAAAAAAGGAGTTTTTTATAACCCTGTTTGTAAAGCATGTTTGGCCCCATGTTCTTAGAAACTTTCTTTTATATTTTGACCCGGTTTTACCCTTAAAATTTTTGGATGGAATTCGGAAACGTATTTGTTCGAACTATAATGTTAAGCGATTTTGAACAAATTACAAAATACCATAAATCTCAACAAAAAAAATTATTTTTTTATTAGATTTATATTTATATTGCTATAATTTCTTTAAAACCGCTCATTATTATGGACCAACAGATATTTGGTCACTATACTTTTGTACGTCTATTTATTTTATTATTTTAACTTAGTAATACTGGCATAATTCCTACATCATAATATAAAGGGTGCACCAAGTATACTTCTATGGGTATTTTTTTATTTGAAGGTTAAATTATAGAAAAGTTTCATAATTACAAGCCTATTAACATGAAACTTATAAATTTGAAAAAAATCTAGCGGTTCTTAAAATATTTGAAAAAAAAACTAAATCCTCTCAAATCCAAAAATCGTTATATCTTTGTTATTCATGGTAATTTTGGAACAAAGTAAGTTTCACATCTATTAATCTACATTTTTATCAAATTTCTTTGCAACATCGTTGGTTCCTTGATTTGTTTTCTATCTAAACATGTAAAATTCCAAATTCCAATTCCAAAATTCCCAGGACGAAGTTATAACGATTTTTGGTTTTGACAGGTTTTCAGAACCACTATTTTTTTCCAATTTTTTAATGCCAATTTTAATTACGCACTTTTGTATAATTTAACCGACCTTGTAGGTCTTCAAATAAAAATGATACCAAGATATGTATATATGAATACAGTGTGTCTACTTAACTTGGCAACATATGGGAAACTTTTTCATTATTAATTTTAAGAGAAATAAATATCCTTCATAAAAAGTTCTGCATGTTCTAAAATCTAAAATACAATCATCAAATTTAAAAAAATTACAGTTCTATACGCGGTTTGTCAAAAATATGAATCTTACTCAAGAGTAAAGTACCTTGAGTTGATCAGAACTAAAAACTACGTTCAAATATGCAATTACTTACATTGACATGGAAAAAATCATTTTTTTTTGTTTACAATAACAATGCAAATGTAACTGTAGTGACAAACGATTTGTTGATAGCAAGAAATGTTTGACATTGAATGTCAAAACATCAGAATTTGCTTATTACTTTCTAAACGATACGGAAAGGTTATCATGTTTGTAATAAATAAAAAATATAAATGTTTCGTATCGGTAATTTGAGAAAAATTTGTACAAAAAAATGTTTCAGTAGATGGATGTAATTGCATATTAAAACATAGTTTTTCATTCTGAACAACTTTTCATAATTAGTTTTCGATATTGTCACAAATAAAGGTACCAAATTCATATTTTTTGTCAAACCTCGTGTATGACTGAAAAAAATTGATATCTGATGATTTTATTTTAGATTTTAGAACATGCAGAACTTTTTATAAAGAATAACTTTTCTTTGTAAAATTAATAATAAGAAAGTTTCCCATTTGTTGCCAACTGTATACCCTGTATATTATTTCTGTTAAAATAATTTATTAACATAAGAATACTTCTTAACTACCAATTTTTTAATTTTTATCTGCTGAATGACAATCTGCTTTGATGAAAGACTGCATAAAATACTCATTTTCATATAAACTAAATGGCATACATAATTAAATCCAAACAAAAAAACAAATATTGAGCTGTGTGTGTGTGATTGCGTAGTGGCATTCGTTGAGCCGCGAAGAGCAGGCCAAGTATTACGAGAAGGCGAGACAGGAGCGCCAACTGCACATGCAGCTGTACCCGGGCTGGAGCGCTAGGGACAATTACGGTTACGGCACCAAGAAGAAGAAGCGAAAGAAAGAACGGACACCCATTGATTCGGGAGGTACTAAAAATCTAGACCGCGCGTGCACCCTAACCAACAGAGTGCCGGATATCATCATTTCAATGCTGCCAACCTCAACAAACGAACGATCTAGTTGTTCGGTTAGAGCAGCTCGAAGCTGCTCTCATCGAACAACGCCCTCTCTAATTATAGTAATGGTTAATGTTAACCGCGGTGAGATGTTTGTTGACGTTGGTAGGGTGGCTTGTCTATTGGTTGTGTGACACTCTACAGCATCTGGTTTGTTATTTGGTTTTGTGACTAATTCGGAATGCAAAAAAACATACTAATACAATAATCAGTAATGCTGTAACATTTTTTCATTGTCTCAAAAATGCATCCAAATTAATTGTACGCTTTATTAACTAATATTTATTTAAATTCACTCATTTAAAGAGATTTCATAATGTTACAGGGACACTACTAACAAATGTATTATATGTCTGTAAAAAACACAAAATTTCTCATTTAAAATCAATCAAATTTTGCTGTATAGTTGGCATATGACTCAATAAATGAGCCGTGTTTAACTCATGCACTCTCTAAATTATATCTAGTGTATAGTAGAGGCCATGCTTAAACACAAACGAAAAAATGATGGTGGTTTTAATGATGATGACGAACTATACCAAGTACCCCAGTACAAGTAGTCTTGTTCTATTCACATTAAAAAGGCCGGGTTGCTGCCCCCGGACCGTAGGCAACGTGCATTACACGCGACGCGAGAGCAGAATGGGTTCGGAACGCGTCAAACTTATTTCTTCAATGTGAATGTGTGTGATTGTTGGAAAGAGCCAAAATACCACTCTAGCAACACTTGATTTGGATAATAAACAGTCACTATTGTCAGTTCTGTATGCTTCATTTTTTTATAATGGAAGTTTGCTTTTAAGATATTGCGGGAATTCTTGCCAACGCTGCTTAGGTTGGCTGCACGTAAAATTTTATTAGTAGGACACCATCCATAAGGAAAATTTGTCAACATTTTTTTGGTAAATTTACAAATAATACTTTTTTTAATTAACTTGGATCCAAAACTATAACAAATTGAATTGATAAATTTACAAATAATACTTTTTTTGACTAAATTTATTTAATTATAATTGGTATACTTTTTTAATTTACTTTTAAAACTATAAAAAATTGAATTGTTAAATTTACAAATAATAATAATAATTCAATTATAATTGGTATACTTTATTTAATTAACTTGGATACAAAACTATAAAAAATTAAATTGTTAAATTTACAAATAATACTTTTTTGACTAAAATTATTCAATTCTACTTAGTATACTTAGTATACTATAAAAAATGAAATTGTTAAATTTACAAATAATACTTTTTTGACTAAAATTATTCAATTCTACTTAGTATACTTTTTTAATTAACTTGGATCCAAAACTATAAAAAATTGAATTGTTAAATTTACAAATAATACTTGTTTTGGCTAAAATTATTCAATAATAACTGGTATACTTTTTTTTAATTAACTTGGATACATAAGTATAAAAAATTGGATTGTTAAATATGAAATTATTTTAATTAAAATACCTATTTGATAAGTTTATTGTAAATTTTTATTTTATCTACAACTTGACAGTTGAAAACTTCCATCATTGAAAAATGGAGCATAGTTGGATAATGCGTTGAATTTGAGTTGGGCGCCACCTGTAGTTTGGATTTCGAACGAGTGTTGCGTGGGTTGTCTAAAATGCCGGCGAGGCAACGGTCTTTGCGGTGCGCGGATTCTTGGTGCCTGAGCCGCCGCGTGGCCGGTTACAGAGGGCGTTTTTGTCAGTAAACAATAAATAACTCAGCAGTTAACAAATGAAATGATGTCGCTGACTGTGTTTTTTGTCTTTTTTCTCGATTTTCCGATGATTAGTGGCATGCTCTGGGCCGTGAGGAACAGGCCAAGTACTATGAGCTGGCGCGTCGCGAGCGACAGCTGCACATGCAGCTCTATCCTGATTGGTCGTCACGGGCGAACGCTACTCGCGGCAAGAAGAGGAAGCGCAAGCAAGACCCTGCCGAAGGAGGTAGCTCACACCACCTCGCAACTCTTTTACTCTCTCTACCTAATCACTCTCTTATTAATATTAATAATACTCTTGAAAAAGGACAACTTTATTGATATCTTAATCAAATATTAGAAATATTCCCCAAGTGTAACTAAGTTACACATGGCTTCTGAAGCACTTAAGCGTTTTATTTTGGTGTTGGGGAATATTCCTAATATTTGATTAATATTATTGTCAATCATTTCGTGAACACACACTCTTGGTACAATACAAAAGACAACTGTTAAAATCGCCACAAACAAAAAAAATTAACTAACAAACAATAGTTATTTGTTTTACAAGTGTTGAAAAGCGACTTTTTCATGCGAGTTTTTAAGTTGACCACGAGGCCGTTAGGCCGAGTGTGCATTAACACGAGCTCGAAGAAATCTTTTCTCACAAGTATAACACAATGTTTTTTCTGCGACGCTTTTATTTTTTATAATTTTTAAATACAAAACAAAATAACCTAAAAACTTTTTTGACAGCTGAATGTCAAACAATGCTTTCCGGTTCTTTTCACACAGACCTGTCACTTTTCACACAGAAATGTCACTTTACATTCGTGTTTTGCCTTGCCAATGAAAAGATTCATTTTCTAAGCAACGATGCCATCATAAAAAGTGACTTTTACATAGTGGTCGTAGAAAAAAAACAGTTTACTATTGTATTATATCAAGAGTAGCTAAAAAGAGGAATAGATTTTGTATGGATAGTAAAATGCGAGCCGTATATACATATTATACTATATATTGCATGTTAATATTTGGGGTAAACGGTTGGCCGTTTCGGTACCTATTCTGCCATGGGTCAAAAGCTGACCCCATATTTTTATATTATTATTATTATTACATTTATTAATGGTTGGTTTCGTCCGTAAATGCACGTTTGTCAAACCACCTACCCCCAGCATGGCCCCCCTACCACAGTAGATATTATTTTATTTGTTGTTTACTAGCATGAAATGGATTTTTTGAAAAAATTAACAATCTTTTCAAAAAAGTTAAAGGATATGCCACAATTACTTGATATTATTATAATTATAATTAATCATTACAAAATTAAATTGTGGCATTCCTATCTAAAAACTGAAAGTATAGGTACAGTCATAATAAACTTAAATTTTTTTAAATAAAAATAATACATGTATTGGAATGTTTATGCCTGTACTTGTTAATTTCAAACACAGTTAAACAAAGCCAAATTTAAGCAGGTTATTTTTTTTTGTCTTACATTTGGCTGGTATTAAAGTCATTATTGTATAGTAGTATTACATTAAATTAGTTTTGCATGATATTCGTTATTTTTTCAATGTTTGTAACAGCAACTGATTCAATTTTTTAAATCTAGGTAATAGTATGAAGAAATGTAGAGCCCGTTATGGACTGGACCAACAAAATCAGTGGTGCAAACCTTGCAGGTATGTATTTTTTATAACTCTTTGGCTTACGTTTAGATTATTGCACGTTTTTATTTGTTTATTTATGAGTATTTAACAATTCAAGCAAACTGACTAATAAAATAACGTTAGTTTTAAACGCACTATTAAAAATATGCACAATTTGACGATTGAAATAAAATCAGTTTGCTTTAATTGATAAATACATGGGTTTGCATATGAACATGAATTTGGAATGTGATGTGACCCCATGTATGTATTTATTTTGGTGTTTCTTATCTATGTGGAAAGACTGTTGTTTATATATTATTTATTTTGTAAATATGGAAGACACTGTGACATATCTATACGTTATGTTGTTTTGGAAAATCAGAAAATGTGTCTTCCCACTTAGAGAAGGACCCTTAATGCTTAGTTTACGTGCACTAGACACTGCTGTTGAGAGAATTTCTATGTATACGGGGCTATATTTTGATGAAAATTATAAAAGATTATATATAGACACATTTTCTGATTATATGCACCATATATGACTAAAATTCTGTGACAAATTGTTATATGTATTGTGTCTTCCGATATTATTTATGTGTGTTATGTTACGTTAGTGTCTAAATGTTTATTTGTAATTTGGGATGCCCCATTGTACATTGTAAATTAAAACCGATCCCAATGTGATTTAGTCCCGAGAACAGCTCTCACGGAGGCGGCACGTCGGCGGTCCACGGAGGTCTGCTGCACGGTGCCGGGGGCGGCGCGGCCACCGCCCAATCACCTCAGGAACCGACTTACGTCAATCTATAGCAATCAGTTAGCGGTTAGTCAACAGCAGTGTTGGTGTTATTATACATTTAGAACTTTATTTGTTTATTGTTTATTCGATGTTGTCGTATCTATTTTATTCTTACATATTCTGCAACAGGGTGGTTTTCAGTAGGTACCAGCATTTTTTTTCTTGATATATTTTTGATGTTTACCACCCTGTTGAAATGTTTTCACTTTTTTGTTCGTTGTATTTTGTTTTTGATGATTATTTGATTTTAACCTGATTTTGGCATGTTTTATTGTATTAAAATTAAAGGGGTATTCTGGAAAGTTTTTTAACACATATTTTTTTCTAAAAAGGGTTTTTATTAATAAAAAATTAAAAATTTACATTTATTACACACAAATCATAAGTGTTTCAGTCCTTCTAAATAGACAAAAAAATACAGTACAAAAAAACTAAAAACCAAAACAAGGATCTGTCAACAATACATTAAGGTCAAGTCACACTACAATACGTTCAGAGTGTTTATTAATTTTTATTTAATTTTTCCCATAGGGTTAAAAAATTAATTATTGTCAATTAACTAACATTGCATTTTTTTATACAATGTAAAAAAATAAATAAAAATTAAGAAAACAAAAATAGTATGTTTGTTATTAAACTAAATGGTCCAATTATTTGTGTAGTGCTTCACAAAAAATTGATTAAAAACGTTTAAAAAACATGTTTTTCTTTTGAAAAAAGTTTTAAAAAACATTGTTAATTGTTAAAATATTTGTTATTTTTTCAAATTAGAAAAAACCTTCATAATAATTAAAAACCGTTTGTTTTTTTTTTGTTTTTTATGAAAAAAATAAACAAAACAATGTTTGACAAGAACAAGTGCAATCTAGAGAGTCTTAAATACAAAAATCTCCTAGGTTAGACCAAATATAATTTCGTCATTCGACAGCTTAGATGCACAGTTTTAGTATTTTAGTACTGTTAATTTTCGGAAAATACGGGATTTTTTGCTTATGTTTCCAGCAAAACAATGTTTTCTCCCACGAGCTGAATTTTAAACGCTCGTCAAAGCAAACTACAGCGCCTTCTGCAGTCATCTGTCCCAACTATTTCCGGGGAATACCCTTTTCTTACAAAGAAGTATAATAAGTAACGGATCGCTTTTAAATCGATGCGTTAACAGTCATACTGCGTGCAATAATATAGAATAGAAAATCTCTATTAAGAAAAACAATGTTTCTGAAAAAAAAATTAAAAAAAAAAACAATACAGTTTTTTTCGGTTTGCATAAAAAATGTCAAGTTCGTCATAAAGGCCACTTATCCGCCACTGTTAAGGCGGCCGCCATATTGTATTGATTCATTTACTTCTCTCTTACTTATGCACAACCACTAATTTCTTACACCACGAACCCATGCGAATATGATTCCCTCTACGTCACGTTCACCCGTTTCACTGCTGCAGTCGTCACATCTACATGACTTACGCGTCTAAATCTAAAAATAAGATTATAAATTATATTGTATTTATAGATTTTTTCCAATATACGCTGAAGGAGTATCGCTATTGCCGCCATCATCCTAACTAAAGTACAGCCTTTAATAAGCAGCTGACAAACACGTATGTTTTTGAGAATAAGACTGGAAAATATTAAAAATATTGAGAATAAAACGTGGAACGTTATATATAATATATGTTGCCATGAATTCGTAGATATCTTTTGTGTTAGATTTTTTTAAAATGTCTGAAATTAAATATAAATTATATTAGATAAAGTTATCATTAGTTAATTCTGCAGCACCAAATAAATATACGTACCAAATTGGATCCTTTGGCAAAACATAAAAATGCAACTTCGAATTAGTTCTTGAATTGTATTTACAATTAAAAACACAATAATTTACCATGAAATACACACACACTAACGTAACTATATAAACATACCTATAAAGAATACCTAATAAATCAAAATCAAGTACTAAACCAAGTAGTTTTTCAGTTTTTCCTTGCAACGCAAAACACAAATAACGTGCGCGATTTAGGTGTGCAATTGAAACTTTCCTCTCTTCGGTGAAAAAATTACTTATTTATTTAAAAACAATGTGCAGTTCTTCTTCTTCTTCTTTGGTTTATTGGCCTAACAATGTGCAGTTTGTATGCTTTAAATGTATTGTTGACATTTCTTGAATTTCATCGATGCCATCGAGCGCCACCAGATGGCGCGCGCGTTGCATTTTATTGTTAAAAGTAGGTCATTTTTGACAGTTTTTTGAGGGCGTATATAAATTTAAAATCTTAAAATAAAATATTTTACCAAAATGTCAACATTTTTTCTTCACATTTTTAGTAATTATTTATGAAATTGTTATGGTATTAGAAAAAATAATGTATTCAACACGAATATACTCCACTTTTTGTAACTATGCTTCCAGCTCGTTTTAAAAGTTCCTCATTTGTACAAAAAATTGCTAAAATTACTATTACAACACTTAAAGAAGTAAGTTGTAAAACCTTATTTAGAAAAAATATCGTTAAAATGCTGTTTTACCCCTGAAGCTATAACTTATATTTATAATAAACAGCATGGCGTTTTTTTTTCAGCATGACGTACCAGTTTAATTTATAACACATTTACCCACACTTATTCAATATATTTTGCCGTTTTACTTTAGCCCGATCGCGCGAACGCAAGGTTCTAACGTTCCTCACAATGTTTCAGACGTAAGAAAAAATGTATACGATACATGGAATCAGGCGGGGAGAACGACGGCAACCAGTCGGACGACAACCTGGGCAGCTGCGGCAGCACCGGAGACGCGCACACTCCCCCCGAAGACGACACCGAAAGCCTGAACCAGTCGATGTCGTCGCCGGGCGGGCTCTCGGCCCTCTCGAGCCTCACGAGCCCGGGCGGCATGGTAATGCCGAGCCCGTCGGCCAGCGTGGCCAGCCCCTCGGTCAGCGTGGCCAGCCCGTACATGCTGCAGAGCCCGCTCACCCCCCACGAGGGCTACGACGTGAAGCTGCCGCCGCCGCCGCCCCTGCCGCGCCACCCGGTCGGCACGAACCCGCACGACGCCAACAACCCGCTGAGCGTGAACCAGCTGACGGGGCAGTGCGTGCGGAACGATCCCTCCGAAACGAACGGCAACAAAGAGACGCGATCCATCATAAGTGTTACGTAGCGAACGTTGCAAGCCGTTACGTTATTCACGGTGCTGTTCTGAGAGGTGAGTTTTGGACTTTCTGTGAAATTATATTCTTGTTAATTAGGTCATAACTAAAATTTTAAGAGCAAAATAAAAAAATTGACGGTTTGAATTGTTTTAATTGGCTGTTTATTAAAAATATTATGCACTCTTTCAATTACCCAATTAAAACTAGCGATTTAATTTAAATATTTAATATTTGCATAACTAAAAATTTTTTTTTTATATATTTTACTGTTTTGTTGCAATAAACGTTCAAACTTTTAATATAACCTTTGACGTATACATTTATGTTCCCTTAATTAATACAGGGTGTTTCATAATATATGCGCAGGACTTCAGGATGTGATAGCTCATCCAAAAAGATGAAAAAATTCGCTATTAACTTACGCTCTAAAATGCACAATTTTCGAGATACAGGGTGTTGAAATTTTAGAAAAAAATTCGTTTTTTTCGAATATCTCCGGAACCGTTTATCGTACAAAAAACAGCTTTTGTAAGCATTTTCTACTCAAAATAAACTATGTCTTGTGCCTCATAATTGGTGGAGATTTTGAAGGGGTAGCGGGTGTTTTTCTCCTCAACTTCTACGCCTTTGAAAAATGTACGGTTTTGAGAGGCCTATTCGAACCGCCAATGTTTTCTACACAAAAAAAGTACTGGTCATAAGCTCTAAAGTTGACCGTTTTCGAGAAAAATCAACTTTTATGTTTAAAAACATGGTCAATTTAAAAAAAAAAAATTTTTTTTTACTAATTAAACAAAATTTATTTTAACGTTAGAACAAGTAACAAAACCAAACCATAATTGCAAAATAAAAAATGATTCAAAAGTTGTCTTTGCTAAATTCTCCATTTCGAACATTTCAGCATTTGTGTAAAAAATCATTTTTTATTTTTTTTTTAATTTTGCAATTATCGTTTGGTTTTGTAACAAAACTTTTGTTACTTTTTCTAACGTTAAAATAAATTTTGTTTAATTAGTAATAAAAATATTTTTTCAAAAAATTGACCATGTTTTTAAACATAAAAGTTGATTTTTCTCCAAAACGGTCAACTTTAGAGGACCAAGTACCTTTTTTGTGTAGAAAACATTGGCGATTCGAATGGGTTTCTCAAAACCGTACTTTTTTCAGGGGCGTTGAAGTTGAGGAGAAAAACACCCGCTACCCCTTCAAAATCTCCACCAATTATGAGTAAAAAAATGTTTTTCCTGGCACAAAACATAGCTTATTATGAGTAGAAAATGCTTACAAAAGCTGTTTTTTGTACGACAAACGGTTCCAGAGATAATCGAAAAAAACGATTTTTTTTCTAAAATTTCAACACCCTGTAACTCGAAAATTGTGCATTTTAGAGGGTAAGTTAATAGCGACTTTTTTCATCTTTTTGGATGAGCTATCACATCCTGAAGTCCTGCGCATATATTATGAAACACCCTGTATATCCTTAAAGGTTGCCATGAAACTTAGATCTATTAAAAATTTATTTGACGTTTGAATTGTCATTTTCAGTATACGTATTCTATAATTTTTTTTAGTTTTTTAAAGTGTTTTTTATAAACAAAAATGAAAAATTGTAGTAAAAGTTACGAAGAAATTCATGAAATTTAACTAAGGTTTATTCATCTTTAGTAAAGTTTATCGGGCCTTTCATGTCTTGGCAATATCTAGTATCCAAAGAAATTATTCGTCAAATAAATCAAAAATGAATAAATCGGCCCTAAATAAAATGTGGCACCCTTAGAATTATTGTTTAATAAATGTATACTATACATTTAACCTTAAATTAAAACTTTAAACGTGTATTACAACAAAACAGTAAAAGATATAAAAAATGTATAGACCTTTTTTTAGGAAATTAACTAATCTTTAATCTGATTTAAAAAGTTATGATAATATTTAAATAAAATCGCAAGTTTTAATTGGAGAATTGAAAGTGTGCATACATATTTTTAATAAACATCCAATTAAAACAAAATTAACCGTCAAATTTTTTTATTTTGCTCTTAAAATTTTAGTTATGACCTAATTAACAAGAATATAAAAAAAAATTAGGTTTCACAGAAAGTCCAAAAATCACCTCTCAGAACAGCACCGTGACAAGGGACGTGGTGCTCTGATCTCCAATGACTTGTGTTTAGTGCTGTGCTCTTCCGATGAGAGTTTTTTTTTACTACTATGTAACATAAATGTCATTTGCCAAAATCACCTCTATATAAATATTATATATATTCGATTTATATTTTTTGTAGTTATTTATCCCCGTTTGGATGTTGTAGCGGATGCATCACAGTACTTAAATTTCTTCTCTAATAAAAGTTTTGACAAATCATTTTCTATGGAATGTGCTACACCATCCAAATTTATTTACAGTTATGTTCCTTGTGCCACATAGTTCTAATGCTCATTTTATTTTATTTTTATATCTTTCAAAAACATACATTGTGAACTTTAATGACAAGTACAGTTTTTAACGAATACCAAAATAATATTTACAAAAATTGATTTTTTGTTTAAATCATTATTATAATTCCAAAAAAACATAACTTGTTATTAAAACCAAATTACATCACATTGTATAGAAAATATCCTTCTTTATTTTTTTAAAGACAAGTATCTCGTTTTTTATTAAAACAATCGACATTCCAGTCTGATATATTAGTACACCTTTGCTTTTGTACAATTTTAACCTTTTTTATTTAATCTTTTATCGTGTCTAATATGAGAAAGGGCAATGACTTTTGTTAATTAAACAGAGATACAAATTCACAAATATGTATATTGTTACAAATATGTAATTACTCTGTACATAGAAAATGTTATATGAAGATTTTTAAAATTGTAAAACTCTAAAACTTTTGTAATTAGAATTTGTTCTTTATTTTTTGCAATATTTTACGGATTAACGTGCAAGATACAGGGCGAATTTTTTATAAGTCATGTAAATATTATAGTGTAATAAATAAAACGAGAATATCTGAGATGAAAAAAACTTTTTTATGCAATATTTATGGCCATTTGAAATTTTATAGTTTACAGATTTGTACATTGTTTTTATATACTTACTTAAAATGAGAAGTTTTTAGATTACGATTTTTCTTTATTGATTTTGTTTTGAGACTAAATTGTGTTCAGTTATTTTGAAGTAATTTTTAAGTAATAAAAATGCGACATGTGATATTTTATACTATTTAATATGAATATTGCGTTTGGCTTCCTCAGGATTAAGCATTTACTTTGATTTTTCATTTGAAACATGTAGCCTAAGATTTTATCTACCACGTTTTCAGTAATTTTAATAATTTCCTTAAAAAATAGAAACGTTAAAGCTTTTATTTTTTCAAGTAAATTTTTAGCAATCATGTGATACTTTTGTGCAAATTTTAGTAATTATCAAATTATGGAACATGTTTCAAACGAAATAGATCCCTTATTAAAAATAAAACAATCGATTTGGTTAATACATTTCAGTTGAACAAAGTACCCTGTATAAAGAGATTAGATGTGCCATAATATTCGTCAAGGGTGCAAATTAACGTTGAAATGTGCTAATTGAATTACGTACGACTGCTTAGGTTAAACGGATATTTTTAAGTTTTTTTTTGTTTCTTGGATAAGTGCAATGTAAATGTCTAAATAGTTAAAGAGAAACTTGAAACTGGTACACCATAAATTGTAAATAAATTGAAAAGTGCCACACAATCAACCCGATAATCAGACTGTTTTTAAGAAAAAAAAATGATCCTCATTTAGATGCCATTTATGTTTTCGTAGTTGGTTGTGTAGTTCTGACTTAATGAAATTTTGTACATTCAAGTTGCGGCATTGTAAATGCTCTACTGAGTTTAATGTACCATTTATAGAGTAAAAAATATATAAATAAATTTAGAAATTAATATTTAGATGTTAATGTCTTTGTAAGTAGCATCTGTTCGTAACACCGTATAGGCTAGGATCATTCAATACAAAACCTTCAAGATATTTTTTTTGTATTATTTTTACCCTAAATTTGAGTCAACTATTTAAAAAAATTGTTGTAAAATCTTTTTTTTTTAACTAAAATTATTTTATAAAACAGGTAAGTATGCATATATTTTTTCATAATCAGCCTTAGTTATCTTAGTTATCTCTGAATATTTTTCACGCCACACAAAAAACAACCCAAATAAAACCAAAAATAGGGTATCATTAATTTTAAGAGTTCAGCATCAAAAATAAGATAAAAAACAAAACTGTTTCTCAACAAGTATACAGGCTGTTTGGAAGTTTAAAAAAATAGTAACTTTTAAACCAATTTTCACCAGCATTAGTGGCCTGCTTTTCACAAAAAATTAAAACATAAATACTTACTGTTCAATTTAGATAATCAGCTTTAGATATCGCACATGGGCGACAACAGTGTCATAAGTAGTAAAACCATAATTCCGAGATAAGTTAACGTAAAAGATTTTTGAATAATAAAATTCTGACATTTTTGTAAAATTATATTAACTTACAGTGTAAGTTAATATAATTTTTCTAAAATGTGTTTTTTTAATCTTTTCCCAAACTGTTCAAGATATACTATAAGAATTGAAGCTATAACTAAAATTAGTATAAACTTTAAAAAATACCAAACTGCAGTTTGTCAAAACTTTTATGAACTTGCCTTTTTCTCTGAATAATTATAAAAAATATTTGTAGAAAGATGAGGCTACATAATAATAAAAACTGATTAAAATCATAAAATATTAATAAATAACAAGGACATTTAAAATAGGGAAAATCTTAGGGTAGTTTGTTTTTTTTTAATTTTAAATTTCAACGGAAAATAACATTTGACCATCCAATGAATTCCTTAAGCAAATCACTACATAGAAAGACTGGAATATGTAAGATATTGTGGGGGAAAAAATTGAAAATATTCAGATAGCAATATGGTGTATAAAATCTATTACATTAATAAATTTTATATATGGATATGGTCAAAGATAAT